GCCGGCTCAGGCAATCCACTCACCTCAGCCTCCCAAAGGTGCGGGATTACAGGCTGAACCACCAAGCCCGGTTTATAGTTGCTATTTAAAGAAAGAAGTTTACATAGTTTTCCTTTGCAAGAGTTGTTAGAAATTTAGTTCAACTTCTTTTTTTTTCTTTGTTTTGAGTTAGGGTCTCATTCTGTTGCCCAGGCTGGAATGTAGAGGCACAGTCATGGCTCACTGTGGCCTTGACCTCCTGGGCTCAGACAATCTTCCTGCCTAAACCACCCAAGGAACTGGAACCACAGGCATGCACCACCATGCTTGGGTAACACACACACACACACACACACACACACACACACACACACACACACACACACACACACATATATATTATTTTTTTTGGTAGAGATAAGGTCTCGCTATATTGCCCAGTCTGGTCTTGAACTCCTGGGCTCAAGCAGTTTTCCCACCTTGGCCTCCCAAAGTGCTGGGATTACAGGCCACCACACCCGGCAATTTATTCATTTTAAAAATTTAAAGATTGTTTGGAGGTATTAACTGACTTTTCAGATATTTTATTTATATACACACATGTATATATAATGAGATAAGTATATGACAGAGAGAAATAATCTACTTATTTATTATTTATTTATTTATTTAGAATCAGAGTCTCACTCTGTCGCTCAGGCAGGAGTGCAGTGCATGCTCACGGCCACCGTAGCCTCAATCTGCTGGGTTTAAGCGATCCTTCTGCCTCAGCCTTCCAAGTAGCTGGAACTAGAGGTGCACGCCACTATGCCCGGCTAATTTTTTGATTTATTGTAGAGACAAGGTCGCACCAATTTGCCCAGACTGGTCTCGAACCCCTGGACTTAGGCAATCCTCTTACCTCGGCCTCCCAAAGTGCTGGGATTACAGGCTTGAGCCACAGCGCCTGGCAATAATCTACATATTTAAAATATGTAACCGTCAGGCCAGACACGGTGGCTCACGCCTATAATCCCACACTTTGGGAGGCCGAGCTGAGAGAATTGCCCGAGCCTGCAGGTTTGAGACCAGCCTGGGCAACTTGGTGAGACCTCATCTGTACAATAAATCCAAAAATTATCCGGGCGTGGTGGTGCGTGCCTGTAGTTTCAGCTACTTGGAAGGTCGAGGTGGAAGGATCACCTGAGCCCAGTGGGATGAGGTTGCAGTGGCCGTGAGTGTGCCACTGCATTCCAGGCTGGGCACAGAAAAGACTCACGGCCACTGCATTCCAGGCTCGGCACCGAGTAAGACTTGGACTCAAAAAAAAAAAAAAAAAAAAATACATATATATATATATATATATATATATAGTCTATATATTTTAATCATTTCCAACTGGAGGTTTGTGGTGAAGGGGAATAGGAAAAAGGGGCGCTCCCTTTTGACTGTGCCAAGTTGCCCAGGCCGGTCTTATCCAGACAGACTTCCACTTCTTTGTGGTTGCAATCTATCCTGTTCGATACTGACTCATAATGTCTTCTATTTTTGCACTATCTTCTTTTTTTTTTTTTTTTTTTTTTTTTTTTTTTTTTTGAGGTGGAGTCCCACTCTGGCCCCCAAACTGGAGTGGAGGGGCCGCTCCCGGCCACCGCAGCCTCGACCTGGTGGGCTCCGC